AATCACTCGACCCTTACTGGAAACCATCAGCATATGATGCCTCTGGGTTTTGCAAAAGAATTCCCTCCGAAGCTGAGGGAACAATAGTGGCACCACTTTGCCCTACATCCACAAGCACAGGCAAATCAAGTCAGCACTTGCAAAGGGATGGACCAAGAGAACAAAGAAACATACTACCTGAGCGTTTCCATTTAAGATACCATGCTCAGTCAAACTTTTGAATCATTCCTTGTCCTTGAGGTCAAGGAAGAGCTCTAAGGCAGAGAAGAAAACAGCAATGGTGATTTCATAAACCTTATGTTACTCCCAAAGCCTTTGGTAAGGCTCACGATGTCCAGCTGAACTTAGGCTCAAAAAGAGTGGTCTGCTATCTGAAAACTATAATAAATCAGATCTTATTTCCTTTCTGGTGAATAATAAAAAAATATTAAAAATTGTGCCACTGACTCTGGAAACTGCTGATTTTGTTTTAAACTTGCCAGTTTCAGGACAGACCAGCATTTATGCTTCCCCCTTTTGGGAAAGGCTGGTCTGAAGGGCTTGTCTTTATGCTCACTTTGAAAAAAGGCAGCCAAATAACAGAAACACTCTGAACCGTTATTCTACACTAAAAGTCAGCATTATGCACCTTTTTTAAATACTCCTTGAAAAGCCGTTTCATGATAAAACAAGCAGAAACTTTTCTGAGGTCTCCTTCTAATCAGGTATAACATACATGGATTTAGGGCACAACTGCTACTTGCATAGCACTAGCTGTGAAGTCCTGATCAAGATTATAAAGGTTTAGATCTTGTAAGCTTTCTGCCTGCAAAGCTCTTAATGAAGTTCAAGAGATACCCATACATGAAGGGTCTGGGCAACCAAGACATAACTGTGCACTGCATGAAGACACAGCCTCACAGCACAGAGACAGCAGAAGACCTGCACAGATTTAAGTGGTATATAGACTCACGCTACCTTTCCATAAGGAAGTGCATTTCAACAGCATTTGTCAATTGGGACGACACTAAAAAACAAAGGACTGATACCCAGCTCTTAACTTGTATTCCTGCCACTGGCATAAACCACTCTGTCTTGCTCCTGTTTTGAGATGTCTGGCTCAAAAACAAAACACTAAGGAGAACTGAGGGCAAAGCAGACGGGAACTGCCAAGTTCACACAATGCTGGCTCCCGGCTGAGGGGAAGGTGCAGAACTTCTACACTGTAGCTACAGAAAGCCATGATGGGAACCAGACTGCAGATTTAATGTCAAGCTGAACCACACAAAAAAACCACAGGGATTCGCTCTTAAATTACTTTCTGGTGACCTGCACAAAAAAACCCCACACCCCACAAAAAAACACCAAACCAGGGGCACGGGTGCGGATGGAATTTCTGCTTTATGTTCAAAGAGTGCCTCTTGCACACACAGGTATTTCCAGAGCATGGGGATATTTTTCTCTTCCCCCACCCCCTTAATTTTTACATTTATGTCAAGAATATAAAATTTTGCCCTCCCTGTAGTTCCTGGCAAACTCTGCAAGATCAGAGAGTTGGCAGAAGACTTTTTCTCAGCTCTCATCTGTAGGACACATCGAATCCTGAACAAAGGCTGGTTTTCCCTTAACTGTCTCAACAAAGGAAAATAAAGACGAAGAGTTTCAAACAGTGATTAAACTCATCCTTCAAGTGCTGTGGCTGTAGCGTGCCACATTGTTATAATCCTCCCTGATCCTCACTCCCCCCAGGAAAGAGAATTCTACAGCAAAAGGAAGAGATGAGATCTGGTATTTAACACGAGGGGGATGGCAAACTCCACATCTCACAATCTCTACCCCCCAGGCAACCTGCTGGTTTCCATTACAGATTTCTATCAAATCCAATCTACCTCCAATGTAGCTGAATTGGGGGGGGGGGGAAGACAAAAACCCCCACCCTTTTGCATGATGACAATAAAGCATTTAATAAAGTAAAAATAAAGGTATTCCAGAGGACAGCTGTTGGAACAGACATCCACAAATATTATTACAGCCTAGGAGAAAGTTGAGACCTGCATAGGGTAATTCATAAATTAACATTAAACTTTCAACATTTCAAAGTTAGGCCAAAAATAGAAAGGTTTAAGAACTGGGGGGAAAGGAAGAAGAGAAAAAGAAGGGTCAGCAATGAATAAAAAAAACAACTCAGGATTACAACAATCTGGAACTTTCATCTAATTTGCCATTGATTTAGAAATACAGGTGTTTAGGCCAACTTCATATTCCTTATCACTGACAGATCACAATGCAGAAACACTTGCCCATGATGCAGAGCCAGTTCATCTCTCAACACTAAGATAAGTACCAGTTCCAAAAACAGTAGAGACCTTTCCCTCTAAATAATAATTCAATGCATCAATAATAGTAAGGAAAAAACCACACACATCACAACGGCACAGTGGCACTTCTGAGAACACCACATCCAAATACAAGCAGCCATCAAGGATACGAGCACAGTCCCACAAGACAGTAATAGATCCCTTGAAAAGAGACTTGCATCAGGAAAAAATAGGTTTGTTGGGGAGTGTGGTATCTTCATTATGTGTAGAAGGCATTCTTGTTTTCAACTCCTGTCTACCTCAGAAAAAGTGATTTCTCAGTGATCTTTTTTGCTTGAGAGAAATAAAGAACAAGTTTTGACAACGAGCCAGAGAACCAGACTGGGAGCCCTCCCAAATTAGCAGGCTCAATGTTCTTGAAAAAAAAGCCTTTCCTCCAACTGTCTTAGATGTAAGCCATCTCACTCAGACAGTTAGCAACAAAAAGAGAGCACTCAGGTTTAAAGAGGTTGACTAAATATTCCTTCCCTAGAGATCATTGTTTACTGTCCTCATTTTTCTGCCATGTGATCATCTCATTCAATTCTCTCGCTGCCCAGTCTCTTCCCGAAAGCATTTGGCAGTTGCGACCTGAGCTTTGGATAGAAAAACACAGCAAACCTTTACACAACGTGGAGCAAGAAAACACAAGCAAGCCCTCTGTTGATTTTGGGGGGTTTTTTGGGTTTTTTTTCTGTGTGCAGGTCACCTTCAACCAAAAGCAGTGCTTTAAATACGGAGACCCACATACAGCTTTGTGATCAGAAGTCAAGTCATAAAAGCAGACTAGTGCTTATTAGTGGGGAGGAGCTTGAAGAGAAAGTGAAGAATACCCCATGGCATCAAAATGAGCAGGACAACCATGCAACACTTCATGCAGGTCACCAGTGAACATGGATGAGAACCAGATAACACTTTGAGAACAGAGACCAGGTAGGGTGGTACAACTGTGGACACACCTCAGTTACACAGAGAGACTGCTTACCCTCGGTTTTAGTGGTAGTACCATCTTTAGGCAAATTAAAAAAAATAAGGAAAGGGTTAATAGGGAAAATCAGTAACATCAACAGAAGCGGGCACTATATATTAGCTACAGAAATACGCAAAAAAATTTAATACAATTGAAGAAATGAAAAGAGTTTGACTGAGCAGCAAATTGAAGCTTGATGTATCTGAAGAACAGGCAGGTTTTCCCTCCTGCAATAACCAACCTTTGCCAAACTCCATTTTCTTTGTTTGCCTCACCATTTCTCTCATAGGAACACACAGGTGACAAACGTCCCTACTAGCTCAAAAGGAAGCAGGCTTCTTTAGGAGCAGCCACGTTTGCATCACTTAAGAGTTCATTTACTGCTTTTCTCCTACAGTCTGTTTTCAGAGCAAGACTAACACTGCATTCAGTCTCCCAGCCCCAAGGACAAAGCCAACTTTAGTAGATACTTCCCCCCCTCTTCCGTTCTTCCTCATGACATAGGCTTGTTTGAAAGCAGTTTTGCCACTGAAGCCAGTACACGGCGCGACTGAAAAATGGTTGCATATGTAAGCTCAAAAGCACGCTATTATAGCAATGTATCTGAATCTTGAACCAAGTATGAAGAATGTAAATCAGAATAAGAATTCAACTTCTGAACCAAATACAACCAACACATTTAAGCCAAGGTAAACTATTTCAGATATGAAAGAAACCCGTCTACAAAAGGAATCTATAGAAACTATCCCTATATAATTCACCAAGCCTATTTTATCAGACTAAAGACCAATTCCCTCACAGTAAGCAGAAGCAACTTTTCAACTGACTCAGTGAAGACAATCTACACAGCTTAAATCAAGATCACCGACTTCTGATTTTTCTTCCTGTTGTAAAGGTAAATCGATGAAAAGTCTGGAATTAGATTAGCATGAAACCAGCAGAATGAGAAACTAGCTCAGATGATCAGGTCTGCTCATAACTGAGTTGAAGCTCTGCAAAAACGGTGTCAATCACCGCCTTGCATTTCCTTCTCCATGCCTCCTTCAACGGCATCTCCAAGAGAGAAAGATCAAATGCAAACTTTGCTGTAAGAAACCCTGGGGCACCTGAAAGTGATATACGATGCTTTGAGAAAAATATGTGACATGTGGCAATAATCCAGTAAGAGGCAGCATAAGGAACAGATACTAATATCCTGTGGGGTGAAACGGGAAGGCCAACTTCTCCTCTTTGCTTCTACATCTTTCTCTTTTGTAAAACAAAGTGATCAAACTCAACTAAGATGTACTATTCAAAGCATAAAACAATTAATGGAAAACCAGTTTCAGGAAAAGAGGGAAGGAAGAGAAGGGAAAGATACAGGTGACAGGGAGAAGTGTCAAAAAGAAATGAGCAGTAAGTATTTTCGTCAACAACGTCCCAGAATCAGAATAAGATCTGCTTTTCCCCAGCAAGAAGAGCGAGACACAGACTACTAAACAATTCAAAACCTAAGAAGTTGCTTCAAGTCAGTTCTGTTGCAATTTTTTTCCTTAATCCCAAAGGGCAAGAGATTGCACGCTGATCCTGGAGAGCTGGTAACTATCTCAGAGATACGTTCTTCTACTTAGAGTTTAATATTCAAATAAAACTACAAGGCACTTTCTGCTAGTAAAGGAAGCTAACTGCAAGAGTAGAACATCATGTAGATTTACCTAGTGATGCGTATGAGCCTGGGGGCAAGGCTGCAGCAGAACTGAAGGGGGTGGATGCTCCAGAAGACGTCACTTTTGACTTGGCACTAGCTGCTGCATTCACATCGACGTCACTGCGGGATCGCTGCAGAGATCCTGGTGTTGACACAGATTTTGTACTTACTGTAGATGCTGCAGATGGGAGTGGGAGATCCAGAATAAAGAAGATTAATTTTTTGAGCTGTGTGCTTCAAAGAGCCTGACAAGCAGTTTAATGTACTATTTTTAACGCTCCCTGCTGGCACTGAAATACCTCAACTAAGAATGCTTTATCAGGGCTATGTGGGCTTCCCCACACTGCCTGCAAAGATATTTCAATGCTAACCTGATGCTGCCTTTAAGAACTTTATCAGACTAAATGCTGAGATCAAAAAGGCTGCCAGGCCAGTAACAAAGAAATTTCTAACAGAACCTAGATGGGAAAGTTCAACCACAGTACCCATCACCAGCCTGTGAGTTGCTGGCCAAAACAGACCTGCAGGTCTTTCAGTCCAGGTTCTACTAACTTCCTTCCCAACACACCTCATCTTCTCATGAGGACTGCTGTTCCCATCACTTGTTGATGCTTACCCTCTTAAGCATGAAGCTTGTCTATTCAGCTGCAAGCAAACATGCATTTGTGAGCAAAATCAAGTAGGTTCCACGCCAATATCTCCTTGAATCAAAGGTCTCAGTAGGGTGTAGTGTATACACAAACCAGCCAGAACCCAATCTTGGTCAGGTGTAGGAGGCAGCTTATCTTCTACCAACAAAGTTTTGTCTGTTGTATTCTGTATTAAAATTTACTATTTAGATTATTGTATACATTTACTTAGGACAGGAAAGCTGCACCTAAATATTCCATCTAATAGTGAAAACAGATTAGCAACAAGATGGAATTTAACGTCGTAGGACTTGTGTGCAGACGATGCCTCCAGTAAGTGCTGAAACCACAGAAAATAATTGACAAAAAATTGTAAAGCTGAATGCACCATTAGACTATGTAGCCGTATGTCTTAGCGTCAGCAGTAGTTTATTCGAGCTACTGCACAGCTAAACATACCTTGGTTACAATTTTCAAGGCTTTTTAGCCTTCCCTTCAGGTGCAAGCAATAACAGATTTACTAACTTTCAAAAGCATCATTATATCAGCAGTTGATGCACAGAATGTGGTGTACAACCCAAAACTAATTAAAAATTTTACATAATAAGTTGCCATTTTAAGGAGCAGTAAACAGTGATCAAAGTTGTTCTTTGCATATTATAATGTCTGAAATTCTCATTCTAATTCATCACACTTCCTCAGCAACACCTGAGCACATTTTTCAGCTCCTGTTCTCACCTCTAGATGTAGTACTTCCAGTAGGACTTCTTTTGGCAGATAATGGACGGCTAGAAGTTAATATAAATATTTATTAAAACAAAACTGCTATTTCAGTCATCAGTAACAGTGCTAGTCTGTTCCCTGAGTACACAAATTGAGTTAATAGTAAGTTATTTATGTACAGGAATAGACTAACAAAGCTTATTGTTTAAGAATAAATACAGTACCACCATGAATTTCTTTACAAAAGCACTAAGAAAAAAATTAGCATGCACATTACTTGAGTAAGAAGAGATTTTTAAGAACACTTATGTTGCACCCATAAGTTATGGATATTTTTCATATAGGTCTAACTTAAATTGCAGACATTTGGATCCTAAGTTGACTGTATCTCTAAGAGAAGCTATAACACATACATTCAACAGAAGAGTTACATACTGATTTTGCAGTTACAACTCAAATTTAGGTTAGTCTTTTTCCTTCTCTTCTATGGAAAGACGCAGACTTACACTTCTAGGATTAATGCTAAACACAGAATTTCAATCCATGCATTGTTTTAAGCACACCTGGAAGAAATGACTAACAGTATCTGCTGAGCACAAAAAGCTTCCTAGAAAATTATTTATGGAGTCAAGATAATGATAATTTTTTTTCTTTTTAAAGCCAGTAATGGGTTTTGCGCTGGCTTTTTATTTTAGTACAACGTTAGCTAAAAAAATTTTGGAATAACCAAGTGTTGAGGCCAAATGATGACCAGATGAGACAAAGCAATGTGATGGCTCCCTCCCCAATTCAATGGAGCTATCTGCAGTTGTTTAAGTTGAGAGGTGGTGACATCGAAGGACTTACTTGAGACTCTCCTGGGAGCTGGAGGAGGAGCGATCCGACTGGGGCAAGGACACGATGCTGTCAGAGTTCTTCAAATGCGACTGCAGGGCCTTCTGGTAGGAAGACTCCAAGGTGTGGTACAAATGCTCTGCCTCTCGGCTGAAGTGACTGTGGAAACCCCAGTAACACCTGGAAGCAAGGCACAATACTGTGAACATTTTCTTGTTGTGTTTTAGGGGGCAGTGGAGCACAGGTACAGTCAGAGCCCTTTTCACTACTGGCATTAGTGGGCTCATTAGCCCAGTCATTCAACCATCTACTGCCCCTGACACCCTTAAGACATACACCACTTTCTTCAACCCATTTTATTGCTCAAACAGCCAGACAGAAGACAAACCAAATGAAAATAAGAAGAAAGGAACGCACCATTTGGTGCGCTGTAAAAACACAAGTAGTCAAAAAAGCTTTATTACAGAAGAAACCCTCATCCCTCCTGCTGTCTACCGTATATGGGAGATGGTAAGACCCACTAGACTGATACTAGTTTGGGACTGGGTGCTCAATAGCTACTTCAAAAATATGCTAAAAGCAGAACGCACATGCATGGGCCTGATTCAGGAAAGCACCAGCTGGTGTTGTTTTCTTAAGTTTAACAAACAGCTCTTCTACAATGCTGCAGAGACAAATCTTCTGTACTGAGTTGAGGTTGTCGACTGTCTTTTTGGGAAGAAATGAAAAGGAAAAGGAAAGAGATGCTCCTATAGACTTCCAGTCAGTGCCATGCTGAAAATAAAAGACCATTTTAAGATGAGGGAAGAATTCCTCTCTGGTCCAAATCTCCTGGCCGATGGCTAAACACCATTCACTCTCATCACAAAGGAGATAAAGACTCTCGGCACTTTTCAGTGAGCAACTAATGGGCAGTTTAAGAGTAAGATCGTCAGCTCAAATGAATCAAGAGTTGTTTGTGTGTGACAGCCAGTCCTCAGAGAAGTCACCTGCATTCTCACATCACTAGAAGGAAACAAATTTCTGCCTTACAATCAGCCACACTGTTAATTAAGAAACATGGGAAGAGAGAATTAAGCATGCTCTCTGAAGTCTCATGCCATTCTCCTTGCTGTCTATTCAGCTTAACTAGTCACCTGCTGTGATGTCTCAGTGCCTACAGTATTTTTCAGTAATGGACACGTTCCCTTTCAAAAGGATTTAAACAGTCCTGCTGTGAAACACCTCTGCTTATAACATAGCATTTAGATTAATAAAGTGTATTGTTCATTGATTTCATGTTTTACAGCATCCTCTTTCTGATGAAAAATGTTCCTGTAGTGTTCTGTTCAGAAGGGCATGATCCTAGTATATCAGCATACTACCATAAGTACAAACACATTAATGGAAATGCAAGAGACCTTCAACAGAAGAAAATTAATTGCGAATATTAAGGTTTCCTATAGATACACACAAAGATATTATTTCAGTGTCATAAAATATTTCCTTTATTTAGGATACTATTTAGCAGTGTACGAGCACAAGGACTTTTGTTGCAAGAGTAGCAAATAACGCAGTCTTGCATACAGGCCAAAAAGGAAGAAAAGAATATATTGCAAATAATAGTATTTTTGTACTAAACGGAAGAAATCTGTTAACTGCAAGCAACTCAAACATCAAAAAGAAAGACGAGGTTAACAGTTCGACTCTAGACTCTTGAACAACTCAGGTAAGCATTTTACCTGCTCAGACAGAAAAGAGACAATAAAATATTACAAGAAGAAAGTGAAACAAGCACCATTAGAAGATGTGATACATATGTAACTCAGCCCTATGCAATCACCTCATATGACATCGCCTGCTGAAGTACACATTCCCATTGAAGCCAAGGGAAACTTGGCATCAACTGCCAGGAGAACGTAACTTGTCTGGACTTCAGTCTCCAACATGCAATACCATTGACTCACAACAACAACAGGGTCAAAGAAGGGGAGGAAGAAAAGACACCAACACAGCTTCCGCTTACTTTCTTGCCTCTATCCTGGCTTCAGAGTCTGCATCGTGAATTCCCTTCTTTATCGTTTCAGCTAATACTGATATGTGTCTGAAATAAAAAGGAAAACATTATCCAGCAGTCCAGAAAGATGCACCATGCTTAGAAACAAATGATTAATTTGATTTTGCCTTGGTCTCCAAGAACAAAGACTTAATCACATCTTCCCACTGCCATGTAACATCCTTTGGAGCCTTTATTTATTTACTCTTACAAGTCAGTTTTATTTCACCCACATTGCTGACTAGGAAAAGGCAAGCAGCATTTTTCATAAGTCAGTCTTTAGTTAACTACTGAAACTGCCTGGGTGCAAAAACACTCTCTTAACTCTTAGTCTTGCACAGCCTAGGGCTAAGGAAATTGTGTCCCAGTCTCTTCTCCCTCAATTACTTTCACTGTTCATTAGTTTGAAGTACTGTAGAAGCCTCAGAAGCTCCTGATAAACATGTAGTAGCTTTCACATCATCTCACTTTAGGGTGCAAAAGGAAAAAAAAAGAAAAAAAACAACAAACTATTGAGTTCAGGGATTCACTCAGTCAGATTTTCCAGGGCTGTCATAGGAGACAGACTCACCAAACTGACTGCCAGAACTACAGGGATGAATGGTGTGTGCACACATATGTACGTGCTTTTTTTGTGGAAAAAATATCTCTACTAGAGCTATCCGATATAATCTCACCTCTTAGATTATCCTTTCTCCAGAATTAACCTCCCCAGACATAAGTAGGAAGAGAACCCACCCGCTTGTTTTCAGAGCTTACCTTTCTAGGGAGTGTGTTTGCCACTCCTGCAACAGCAAGTCTAAAAATTCAAAACATCGCCTGAGAGAAGAAAGAGAAGAAATGCTGAGTTTGCCAAGTTAACAGAGGCACACTGACTTTGCCATGCCTCCTCTGAACAACAGCCACAAAAGCTGAACAAAACTTCAGCTGAACAACAGCTGAACAAAACAGCTTTTGTTATGAAGCTTTTTGGGACATTAGAATTCAGTAACAACCCTGATTTTAAGTGCAGAGAGGACCATTAGCACATCCAGTCCAACTTCCAGATGACACTACCACAGAACACTACTTCTGCTGACTGGCTCAAAGAAAACGTGTCACTATAAGGGCTAGTAGTGGGGAACAGCAACATGTCTGTAAAGAAGCCAAAATAATGTGACTTTATTAAAATGACATGTAAGCACAAAGATTAAAGAACATTTTTCTTTGAGAAAAAGTGCCTTTTCTTCTCTGCAGTACTGCAGCTTACACAAGATAGCTGACTTTGAATTTGATCCCAACTCGTGGGGGAGAATGAGATGCATTCTTTAGTAAGCATGAATGTTATCAGAAAGTACATGTGAACCTATTTACTGGTTAAAAAAAGAGAACAAATTCAAACTAAATGCTCACCTTCTAACTGCAACAGACTTGGAGGTACAATTACTGGTTATGATGGGTATTAATCGAGGGATGTGCGTATGCTAGAAGAAAAACAAACAACAAAACCAGGAAGAAATCTTTACACTACAGTTCCATGCAATGAAAGGCCATGTCCTTCAGCCACCTGAGCCCAGTATGTAGATATTTATTTTTCTTCAATTCTTAAAAATAGAACTGCTAAATAAAGGAACACTAACAGATATAGACAGATATTTTTATTATTAAAAGTATTTTATATTTTATCTGTTAAAATATCTTTAACAGATATTTTATTTTCTTCTATAATGACAGGATCCAGTGAGTCAAGGAGCTGAAGTCACTGCAAGAGGATCTAAACTGTCAGTGGTGACAACTTGAGAGATATCAGGCTATCTACAGCTTCCCCAATGAATCACTAAGGCAGAAGTCACCTCCGTGACCTAATGGTTTTAGGAAACGTGCATTGGCTGTGAGGAGTTTTAGAGCATAATTAAGAGGATGAGTCTGTCCTGCAAAGCAGGTTTAAAACCCATTCAAAGAAAAAAGTTTGCTCAGCTTTTAGAGGGATAGAAATATATTACTCTGCAAAGAAACATTTTTCCGACTATCTTGGCAGGGCTTAGCTATCATCATCTACACAAGGCTGCATGACACCTGAGAAAGCTAAGCCCAGCACAATCAGAAAAGTAGATTAGGCACTTAATCTAATTTTCATTGCAATAACATTCATATTTTTTCAGAAACACCACCTTATTTGGAAGTGATAACATTTTGTTCTCTTTTGATGTATACTTACTCGAATGATTAATCTAACTGCTACGACACCAGAAGTGGCCATGACCTTGGCACTATTCGGAATTAGATTAAAAATTGTTGGCATGATGGCTTCTGCCCCATGGTCAAACTTGTTTCCCAGAACTGATGACAAATGTCTGAAAAACAGAATGAAGTCATGCTGGTAAGTGTGCTGAAGATTAAGCCAGTCAGACTTCTACAGAACATCTGACATAAGCACATCTGACATCTCACTCTTCCTAACTGTCAGCTCCTCTCCAACTCCAAAGGACAGAGAACAACGTGTTTCCAAAAAAGTTTGTTTACTTTCATTTCAGACTTGTGTTCTATATTCATCTGAACTCTGAGAAACAGTAAGTTCAGCATAAAATAAAGTAACTAGCACAAATAAAAATTTATTATCAAACAAATGGGATCATGCTGAAAGAATTATTTTTCTGAACTTACTAGTTTGTATTACAGTTTCTCTGAAACTACCTATTTTGCCTTAATATGCACAAATTTCAAAAAAGCTGTTAGAAACACTGCAGCGCCCTTTTTCTTGAAGCATTTCACAAAGGATAAACCATCAAAAAAAACCCTAGCTCAAACCAAACCAGAACAAAACACAGATATTTTCAGCTTTATTGTTCAATCCTTCCCTACTTGGTGCATGAATGCATGGCTTGCTCATTCATTCAGCATCTCAAATCAGCATTGTTTAAAACTCAAGAACACAGTTTGGCCCAACTACAATTAGTGGCCTACATGGACATGGTTTTAAACAGCTGTAGTAGCAAAATCATGTTCTACCTATAACTACATAGTACTGGCAGCACGAGTTACATCCTAGATGTGTTTAAACCAATGTCTGTCCCTTTTTTCTACATCACATTTCAAGTGCATTTAGACAGTAAACTTACCCCAATGTGATACAAGCCTCTCGTACTACTTGAGACCGCAGGTCTTTAGCAGACAATTTAAATGCTCCATCCAAAAGTCTTAAATGTTGGAAGAAGTTATCATATTCTGCAGCTCCAGCCAAAAGTAAGGAGCGAATCTTTTTCAACTGTTAGTACCATAAAAGAAAGCAGTGACTGTTAATGAGCAATGAACACAAGGACAGTTATGTTCAGGGCTGGTACTTGGTTTCCAGGGTCCTCATACAACCATTCCTCAATATGCATTGAGGAACTCTGTTCTTAAAGTCCAAGCAATTTCATTATTTCAGATCTTATATTCAACTTCTAGGTTAACGTACTAAGTACGATAATACAAACACGCTAGCTAACTGTTATAGGAATCCAGAACTGTTGCATACAGCTACTCAAACTGTATTGTTAATAACCCAAGCATTACTTTAAGCCAAAAGATATCTTGAAGGTTCTCCTCTGTTCCCCTTAGAAACCTCCTATTTACACCACCTTCTAAAGCTCAGGTCTTCTCACAGCTAACTATTGTATTAAAAGGATTACTAGACTTGAAGGGCATGGCTCACACTCAGATCTGACTTATATCTAGAATATGTCCATTGATTTCATTAAAATAATTATCTGGCTCTACTAGAAGTGGAACCCTGACCACATCAAATTGAGAAGTTTTCTATTACTATTACAGGGACCACCATTTCATCCTATGGACACTTTCACAGGCCCTCATGTGTACTGAGGCACCTGTACAGTGCCTCGATTTAAGCTCACTGTTACTCAGTAGAGCAAACAAAAAAAAAACCCTGAAGTAAGCTGAATCAGCACAGTTTGCCACTCAGATCTGTAATACAGGATTTGACAGACATGTCAAAGTTGCTACACCAGTGATGAAAGCCTACGGTGTAGACAAGATCATGCATCTATTTATACCATGAAGACAGCTCACCTCAGTAAATAAAACTCAATCTTGGCATGCATATAACACATCTGATTTTCCACTTCCACATTTCCCAGAGTCATATTTATTTATTCAAAACCTAAGTGTGTAAATTCTTTCTGAATTTTTTTTACACTTTCTTTTGCAAAAGCATAAATAAGTTCTCTATAAGCAAGGTGACTTCCTGCCCCATCAGGAAGTTTTAAGATATTCTGAATACCACTTTTGACATTTTGATTTCAGCATCTGCTAGCAAGTTTCTAGCTTTACATCTGGATCTGCTGCACGACTTCCAGTTCAACCTGATGCTGTCTCACTGGATTCTTGTATATCAAATAGCATTTTCCTTCACAGACATGGTTTAAATTCAGTCTCATAAGGAGACATTTCCCCCAGGCTTGGGGGAACATAACAGATGTTCACCACTTACACTACATTCTAGCCTTACTCTGAGGTTCTCCTAGTACCTTCTTCATGGGATTAAGCTCAGTGCAGGAAAAGCTTATATTAATAAGAGTTCATATCTAAGTTCACTACTTACCGCGGAAACTCTCTGCTCCCAGTCATGCTTATCATCTGATAGTATCTCTCTTATTTTGTTTATGGATTCCTCAAGATCCCGGCTAGAATAAATCTGCAAATTTAAATACAGAGTAGCACCACAATGCAAGATTTACTCCAAAAAAGCAGATCACTTCCCAACTACATTCTTACATCCTTCGCTCCTCAACACTTAAATGTCACATGCTGGCCTTGGACACAGCTGGCTTTGCATAGTGCAAAGAATTTACACCCATTTCCTGCAATCAAAAATTACTAAATGACCACAAGATGACTGAAGGATTATTTTTTATTATTTTACTATATTTTCACCATT